TATCTACTGAATATTAAACTTATGTATTAGTATTTACCTGTGAGAATGGCATTTTTTTTTTATGCGCCCGGATCGATAGATCCCGGGCGTATATTGTTTTTGTCCTGTCTGTTTGTCTTTTTGTCTGTTTGTCTGTTTTTGTTTATCTGTTTATCTGTTTGTCTGTCTGTCTGTTGTCAACTTTAACCTTGGCCATAACTTTTGAACAATAAGAGATAGAGACTTCATATTTGGTATGCATACTCCAGTAATAAAGTCCTTTCAAATGACATCAAGGTCAATGACCTTGTGACCTTGACTGTGACCTATATGCTAAAAATAGCTTTTTCCACTGTTTGTCATAACTTTTTAACCATAGGAGATAGGGACTTCATATTTGGTATGCATACTCCACTAATAGAATCCTTTCAAACAACATCAAGGTCAATGATCTTGCAACCTTGACTGTGACCTATATGCTAAAAATAGCTTTTTACACTTTTTGCCATAACTTTTTAACCATAGGAGATAGGAACTCCATATTTGGTATGCATACGATATCGATAAAGTCCTTTCAAACAACGGCAAGGTCAATGATCTTGTGATCTTGACTGTGACCTATATGCTAAAAATAGCTCTTTACACTTTTTGCCATAACTTTTGAACCATAGGAGATAGAGACTTCATATTTTGTATGCATACTCCATTGATTAAGTTCTTTCGAATGACACCATGGTCAATGACCTTGTGACCTTGACTGTGATCAATATGCTAAAAATAGATTTTTTGAACTTTGTTGCCGCCGGGCGCATAGTGTTTCACAAACAAATCTTGTTTTTTTTACCTGTGACCTAGAAGTTTGACCTACTTGCAAAAAAATTAAATTGTTATAAATTCATCATTTTGAAGGAGAAAAGTTAGGGCATTCATATCATAATGCATGTATATTATTACCTGTGATAAGACCTTTCCAAATAAATCATGATTTTTACTCTGTGACCTTGACCTTGAAGAGGTCAAGCCTCTACTTTTCAAAAATGTTGCATTTGCTTATAACTTTTGATTGAGATGAGATATGACTCTCACATTTGACATATACATTAATTACTCATAAGAATTCAAGGTGTTTCCCAGCATGTGATGCTTTTTTTACCCCTTGACGTTGATGTTTTACATAATTTTCAAAATATTTAACTCTCCTAAAAGATGATTAGGCTTCTGAGTAACATTAAGGAAGACTTCAGGGAAGACAGGGCTTTTTGCACAAAAAACGTCATTTTTAGACCCATATTTGACCCCCCAGGGCAAAATCTTAATTCCAAAACCTTACTGCACATCTACCTGACACCACCAACCATCTCCCAACAGATGATTAGGCTACTGTGTAAAATGTAGGAGAAGTTCAGGGAAGACGGGGCTTTTTGCATAAAAAATGTCATTTTTTGACCCCCATTTGACCCCCCAGGGCAAAATAAAAATTTCGAAACCTTACTGCACATCTTCATGACCCCACCAACCATCTCTCAAAAGATGAATAGGCTGCTGAGTAAAATGTAAGAGGAGTTCAGGGAAAACAGGGCTTTTTGTATAAAAAACGTTATTTTTCCACCCCAAGTTGACCCCCCGGGGCAAAATCTAAATTCAGAAACCTTTCTGCACATCTACATGACACCACCAACCATCTCCCAAAAGATGATTAGCCTACTGTGTAAAATGTAGAAGGAGTTCAGGGAAGACGGGGCCTTTTGCATAAAAAAACATCATTTTTCGACCCCCATTTGACCCCCCCCCCGGGGCAAAATCAAAATTCCGAATCCTTACTGCACATCTACGTGACAACACCAATCATCCCCCAAAAGATGATAAGGCTGCTGAGTAAAATGTAAGAGGAGTTCAGGGAAGATGGGGCTTTTTGCATAAAAAACGTCATTTTTCGACCCCCATTTGACCCCCTGGGGCAAAATCAAAATTCCGAAACCTTACTGCACATCTACATGACACCACCAATCATCCCCCAAAAGGTGATTAGGCTGCTGAGTAAAATGTAGAAGGAGTTCAGGGAAGATGGGACTTTTTGCACAAAAAACGTCATTTTTCAACCCCCATTTGACCCCCCGGGGCAAAATCTAAATTACGAAACCTTACTGCATATCTACATGACACCACCAACCATCTCCCAAAAGATGATTAGGCTACTGTGTAAAATGCAGAAGGAGTTCAGGGAAGACGGGGCTTTTTGCATAAAAAAACATCATTTTTCTACCTCCATTTGACCCCCTGGGGCAAAATCAAAATTCCGAAACCTTACTGCACATCTATGTGACAACACCAATCATCCCCCCAAAAATGATAAGGCTGCTGAGTAAAATGTAAGAGAAGTTCAGAGAAGACGGGGCTTTTAGCATAAAAAACGTCATTTTTCGACCCCCATTTGACCCCCCGGGGCAAAATCAAAATTCCGAATCCTTACTGCACATCTACGTGACAACACCAATCATCCCCCAAAAGATGATAAGGCTGCAAGAGGATCAAAATGGGGCTTTTTCCATAAAAAAACCTTACCTGCACATCTACATGACCCCACCAACCATCTCCCAAAAGATGATTAGGCTACTGTGTAAAATGTAGAAGGAGTTCAGGGAAGACGGGGCTTTTTGCATAAAAAACATCATTTTTCGACCCCCATTTGACCCCCTGGGGCAAAATCAAAATTCCGAAACCTTACTGCACATCTACATGACACCACCAATCATCCCCCAAAAGATGATAAGGCTGCTGAGTAAAATGTAGAAGGAGTTCAGGGAAGATGGGGCTTTTTGCATAAAAACGTCATTTTTCGACCCCTATTTGACCCCCTGGGGCAAAATCAAAATTCCGAAACCTTACTGCACATCTACATGACACCACCAATCATCCCCCAAAAGGTGATTAGGCTGCTGAGTAAAATGTAGAAGGAGTTCAGGGAAGACGGGACTTTTTGCACAAAAAACGTCATTTTTCGACCCCCATTTGACCCCCCGGGGCAAAATCAAAATTCCGAAACCTTACTGCACATCTACATGACCCCACCAACCATCTCCCAAAAGATGATTAAGCTACTGTTTAAAATGTAGGAGGAGTTCAGGGAAGAAGAGTGTGACAGACGGACGGACGGACGGACGGACACACATTTGGTTATATATTGGGTACATCAAGTCCAAGTCCTATTGGATACTGCTTATTGGATACAAAAAAAGTGTACACACGAGAGAGCATTATTTGGGTAGTTACTGTTCAAATCTTATTGGATATTAATCCTCGTGTCCGTATTTTATTGGGTTTTTTCTTATTGTTTTTTATTCATTTCAAATTTATTATATATATATAATATTTGATGGTAAATTAAGACAAGACTGAAAACCTTTGGTTTTGAACCCATATTTTTGTCAATTTCTGTGATATAGCTCTTTTATTGTGACACCTAACTAATTTGTTCTTAGCAATAAGGATATACACCTGTATATTTCAAAATAACTAATATTAAAAATACACGAATACCTAAGTGCAAAAAAAAAAAACTGAATTGTGAAAACACAACTCAACACATCTCAGACTCTGTTCAACCTTTCTTGAATAACAAAATTAAGTATTTAAGGAGAAACCTTTTTGAGTCATGACCAATTAATAATAAGCAAATGCCCATAACATGTTGGGCAGAATGAAGGTATCCAACAGGCATTGGACAGGTGTCCTATTCCTGTTGGGTTGTATTTTGACGAAGGGATTAAACTACCCAAGAACAATTGAACATGTGTACATTGTCCAATTCTATTTGGATTTCTTGAATCTCCTCATCAAAATACAACCCAACAGGTAATGGACACATGTCCAACTCCTCTTGGATATCTACATCCCACCCAACAGGTAATGGACACTTGTCCAATTCTTCTTGGGTTTCTTGAATTGTTTCATCAGAATACCACCCAACAGGTAATGGACATCTGTCCACTCCTCTTGGATATCTACATCCCACCCAACAGGCAATGGACACTTGTCTAATTCTTGGGTTTCTTGAAGTGCATCATCAAAATACAACCCAACAGGTAATGGACACCTGTCCAACTCCTCTTGGATATCTACATCCCACCCAACAGGTAACGGACACTTGTCCAATTCTTCTTGGGTTTCTTGAATTGTTTCATCAGAATACCACCCAACAGGTAATGGACATCAGTCCAACTCCTCTTGGATATCTACATCCCACCCAACAGGCAATGGACACTTGTCTATTCTTGGGTTTCTTGAATCTCCTCATAAAATACAACCCAACAGGTAATGGACACATGTCCAACTCTTCTTGGATATCTACATCCCACCAAACAGGTAATGGACACTTGTCCAATTCTGCTTGGGTTTCTTGAATCGTTTCATCAGAATACCACCCAACAGGTAATGGACACCTGTCCAACTCCTCTTGGATATCTACATCTCACCCAACAGGTAATGGACACTTGTCCAATTCTTCTTGGGTTTCTTGAATTGTTTCATCAGAAAACCATCCAACAGGTAATGGACACCTGTCCAACTCCTCTTGGATATCTACATCCTACCCAATAGGCAATGGACACTTGTCTAATTCTTGGGTTTCTTGAGAATCCCCTCATCAGAATACTACCCAACAGGTAATGGACACCTGTCCAATTCATCTTGGATATCTTCATCCCTTCAATAGTATATAAACTAAAAGGTACTGGACATTCTTCTTGGGTTACTCAATTTTTTTTTCATAAGAAAGAAAACCCAATAGGTATTGGACATTGGTTCAACTCTTCTTGGATACTACATCCCAACATTAAAATAAAACCCAACAGGTGATGTTTACCTGTCCAATTCTTCTTGGGTTACTTATATCCTTCATTAAAATTGTCAAATTTGTCTTGGATATTTATACTCTTGCATTAGATTGCAAACCCAATAAGTATGACATTTACCTTCCCTATTTGAATTCAAATTTATCTGCATAAGCATACATAAGTCCAAAACATATTTAATACTTTAATTCTAACATTCCACATCTCATTCAGTGTACACTTTACAAATGATAGGAAATATATAAGCATTTTGTGCCTAAACTATTTGGCTTTTAAAGAATTTTATAACCATGTTTGCAAAATCTAAATTTAAATATTGGAACTTGGAGCAAGTCATTACAGGTAGAGCAAGATGCTGAAAACCATATTGCTAAATAGATCACACCCTTGATAAAATATTTGCCTTCAGTTGCTAAGATTGTGTTGTATTATATGGAAAAATTCTATAATCCTGTTTATTACAGATACATGTACAATGCATATTTTCCCTGTAATAATGAAAATACTTCTGAGATGTAAAAGAATGGATTAAATAGTCACCGATGTTTAAAGATATTACATGATCTCATTAATCTGGTTTGGAAATCACAAACTTAGTTTCGAAGCCAATAAAACAGTGTCGCACCAGAAAACTCAGTTACAAGTACAATGAATGAATTCCTTGTATCAAAACTTTAAAATAATTGATGCACTATGTCCAAATCTTTTCGACAAATCGGGATAAAGATATTCAATCAAATCATCACTGTTATAAGTCTAAGAGCTAGAGAAAAGTCATTACATGCCCAAATTTTACATGTAAGACTTTGATCCTATATTTCAATAAATGTCAAAATGGTTTTATTTTTGTTTTTGTTCAATACTTTCTTCTTCAAGGTCTCTCATGGCCTATTCTGTATGATACCTCCATTGACCCTGCTCTTTTATATTGCCATATGTTTATCCAGTAGCAGTGGTTATGCTCAGGCAATCTTTGAAATATTCCTCATTTCATGCATCTCCTTCAGTTCTGCCTCTGTCCATTTTATTCATTCTGCAATTAGATAAAGGCATTTCTTTGCCGTATAAAACATGTTTTTCTTGACTACAGCAAGATCACCCTTTATGTTGATCAAACCCAACCAAGAAGTAGAAGTATATTTCTTATTCAGAAATATGTATTGATAAATAAAATGGAAGAAAAACTAAATTCTATCAACTCTTTTTTTTTCTTCTATGTCTAACTGCATCTTCATCCTACCCCCCATCTGCCATAATTCTATCAAAATGGAATCATGATTCAACACACAAAACGATGTTGCATATTAATTTGACAGTATGTTAGTTTCTGATTGTTAAGAAGTAGATTTTAAAAAAGATTTTACACCTATTCCTTGCAAATTTTAGACTTCTAATGTAATCAAAAACATCTCTACACTTAATGATAAAGCTTTCACATTAGTATTGTTTTTTGCCCAATGGTTCTGCTAAAGAGGATTTAAAATTGACCCAAACCTTACTAACTGCTTTGAAATTATATTGACAGGGACAGAGACACACTTGAAACTCCATCCCCCTTCCTGGGGTATGCTTTGCACAAAATTTAATTAAAATTGACTAAGCTGGATAGAAGTTGAAAATATGAAAAATTACAGTCAAACAGATTATGAATAACTTTCAGCACATCAGACATGAAGTAGTGATCCTTAAATAAAATACACCTACAAGAAGAAGCTGTTTTATTCCTTTGAAGTGATATTTAGTATTGTTTCTTTTCCTGTATGCCACCTCTATCAGAACAAAATGTTATACATGTATTAACATAACCTATGACCGTATAGTACCCCAGTATTTCCTTTACAATTAATTAAGTTCTGGAACCAACCCTCAAATGCCCTTAAAACAGGGCATCTGAAGAATTTAAAATAAAATGATAGTACAAACAAGCAAACAGTGTGCATGAAAATGTTGGCAAACACTAGAAAAAATACTAAGGTACTTTCTCAAACTTAACATGAATACTAAAGAGGTTTTATGTAGCTGTATTGCACATACCAAAAGCTTTCCTGCAGTTAAAGGTTGGTTGCCTAGTAGTTATTTAGTATGTACAAGTTTTTCCCTCTATCTCTTCTAATTTAAGAAGCGAAAATGTCTCTAAAAATCTTATGGTTAGCATGAAGTATTCCTGTTCATTTTACTGATTACTTACAATTGTCCTATTTCTGAGGGTCATCTTCTGATGAGTGTGTTCTCTGCAATGTTCACAATTGAAGTTCCTGTTTGACCTGTTACATATTGAAAATCCTCAATGAACATGATTATGGTTTTAATTTCAATTGTAATCATTGATTACTTTTATAAAAAAAAAATCTAAACCAATTTATTGTAACATAATACTTAGGAAAATGTTTATGTAATATCAATGGGAAAAAGGAATCATTATCTCCAGGTATTCTAAAATCACAAGTAAGCATTAATCATATAAATTCACATACGTAAACCCATTTAGCTTTTTGTGCTATTAAATCATAGTCATCGCTGTGCAATATAGGAAATCAAGTACTAATCCACAGCTTTGTGGCAATAAAGTTACTATCCCCGAGTAAAAAGTGACAAGCCCAAATACAGAGGCAAAAATTAAAAAGTATACATTGAAAAAAAGTTCATCGTGAAAAAAGTCAGGGGCCCGTTCCATCAAAAGTCGTAAAGTTAAGCCTTAACTTTGGCGTACTTCCGGGGATTGCGTTTCACCAAGTTGCATAAGTCTAGTCGTAAAAGATACGCTTAGTCACAGGACTAAGTCCTTGACAACGTTGCATTGCGCAGGCGCAAAAACATAAACATTGCCCAAAGCGTACAAACATGTATTAATTGTAGTACGTCAAAGTACAGAACAAGAAAACATTGATGTAACCATCAATTGTCGCCCGGGACATATATAAAGTAAACAATGAAAATGAGTCTTGATCATCAAACCGCTTCGATATGAGTGAAAAGGCATGCGTCTAATTGATGGAGACGATAGTCGAACTTAAAGTCGGATAAAAATTATTAAAAAACGATACCATTTTAAACTTGATCAATTCCTCAAGTAAATGTTGGCTGTATAAAGTATAAATTCAAGTTAGACACACGCATCACCTATATTTAAAAATGTATTATTTTTCAATTTTATAATATAAAACACGAACTGTGCAGAGTACGTTTTTATCCGAGAAGTAAAATTCGATGTTCTAAAAAAAGGGATCTGTCGTTTTTTTGATAAAAAAAGATAAGCAACTATATATATTAACGTATATATTTTTACAGATTCACTTTATGGAAGTTATTATATTATGTATCTCGTAATTTATAAACAGAAAGAACATTCTGATTAACAGTCTTTTCAATGTTTAGAAATTCTAAATAACTACTCCCACCCCAATCCCCATACACCAACACTTAAACTTATATGTATAGAGCACCCCGGTCCTCCGGGCTGCAATAACACAAGTTATAGATAAATTAATACTTGCACTAATTGAAACATGCATGGGTTTATAGTGTTATGTAAGAGACATGCATCTTTTAAGAAACCAATTTCAGTTTTTTACAATATTTCAATAATAAAAGTCTAATAAATTGAAAGGATGAAAAGGACAGTACATGTACTTGTATTTCGGAATTAAGCAAAACTATTCATTTTGGAAATTTAATTACAGCCATACCCCCTCTTCCCGAAATTGATACAGGTTAATAACTTCGCCTTTGATAATAAATTTCATGATTAGATAAATGATTAGATAAATACTGATTCTACTGACAAATACTAATAATTAAGTTTGAGACAGAATAAGATTTAAAAATTTTAATAAGAAATGTATATGCAAGCAAAAATAATGAAAACAAAATGCAAACGGTTTACATATGAACACATTTTGAGTCAAGAAATAAATTTTACATGTTTACTGCTATAGTACATGTAAGATAATCCTCTCTGTATTTATTAATTTTTTGTCAATTCAATTGATTCATAATTGTTCAGTTATAGAAAAAAATTCTTCACTATCTGCAGATTAAATGTGATGTACCGTTTTAAAAGTACGCACAGAGAGAGAGAGAGAGAGAGAGAGAGAGAGAGATGTATGGAAAAATGATTACAAAGATAGACAAAAAGAGTTACAGCTACTCTTTATTTTGTTTTCGTTAAAATGTAAGTAATACAGGAAATCAAAAACATGTATATTTTCATCTTATATGTGCTTTATATGCGCTCAGATTATCTTATACTATGTAAGATTTGCTCTTTTAAACAAAATTATGAAAACTAAAGATGTCTTCTGCATCAATGTTTGTCTGAGAAAAAAAAATTGGGAATAATTCATTCTTGAACTTAACTGTGTAATTATTACCGTCTTACATCGATATTATAAAAGCAATAATTTATTACCACTTTCAAAAATTTCTTGACGTTGCGCACGATGTTGGTACTATAATATCTAACTCTTTATGTCGCAAAGAAATTGGCGGTTTCGCGATGTCATATTTACTTTGAATTAAAAACAAAATCATTTATTTTATCTAAAGTAATCAATAATTCTTAAAATTTTCTTTTAAATAATTTAAAATTATTTTAACTATGATGAGGCGTTACTCAGTATTGGTCATTTACAGCGAAATTCCCGTGTCCGACGTTACATCAATTATTGATCGCGCAACTAAAAGGTATAAAAAATGCACTTACACGTCTCTGAATTAAATGAAACTTAGGGGGTACAATAAGATATATGCATTCTTTAAGATATTGCTGAGGTTTTAACATCATTTCATCAATTTCATGAATTTAGACTGGATCTACAGTGCGTAAGTAAAATGTCTTACAGAAAAAAAATCGTTTCCTTACACTGACATTAGCCGAAATGGAGATGTACCAGACATAAATTCGAGACAAATATTAATTTTGATGAATAATCTTTCAGTACATATATTTCTAAGATTAATTGAGTTGATACATTTTATATTACTTTTCCAATGTAAATATTAGGAAGGCTTTCTTAAGTGTAGCCATATTGTTATGCACGCACGAGTCACTGTATTGTTACTAAATATGTCTATGAGACCCCAACCCCCTCCCTGGGTTGGGGTCTATGATTGGCCGGGAACATCACCCAGATACCTAGGAAAATAATTACTTTGTCCTTAACTAAGTAATCTGTACATTCAATGTTAATTAATCTGCAAATTCGGGAGATTCTGGACCCTCTCTCCGACCCCCTCTGGATTTACGCATGTGGACGAGAAGTAAATAAGAAATGGACTCTTCAAACATGACAAAAGCTATATGGTTTTAAGATGGGTTATTTTTTTTTGAATTTTTTTCTTAAATGTAGAAAATTACATGAAAGATGATAACTATGCTTTTGAAACCGATTTTTTTTTTTTTTTTTTTTTTTTTTTTTTTTTTTTTGTAATTTTTGTTTTTCAGAAAATATGATGTTGGAAAATATTTTTCAAAATAGACAAATTTAATGGGTCTCTTTTTAGTAAATGAAAAAGAAACTAGAGGTACCGTAAGCAATGAGTTCAATAAAAGATACCCCCCGCCTTCCATATTTAAATATAATGGCAGTGCCCATGTTTTGCTGTGGGAAACCCAAAATATGTTGCGGATCAAACAGTACAATAAGGCACAATGGCAATATATAATAAAGATTCTGTGAAAATTTCACCAAATTTCAATCAGTGATATGAAAGGAGTTGCGGATAGAGATGGGTACCCCCAAAGCGTAACAGATGGACGGACGGACTTCCCGATTACTAAATAGTATATACATGTACATATACATGTACCGTCAAGCGGGGTGTAGAAATACAGTTATATATGTAAATTGATTTACAATACCTTAGACATACAATACCACAATCAAATGTGTATGAATGCATTGTCAAAACGTAAGAAATCTCTAATAAGACAATCTTTTCTTCTCAGCAGAAATTTATCAAAATATTATTTGAGTACGTTATTGCTCAAATCAACTACGTCCCCAAGTAGTTGTAACACCCCCCCCCCCTCCCCCTCTTCATAATATGTATAATTAAATAATGCATTGTTTGCATTTTAAGTTCTTCTTAGAACCTTACTTTTTCTTTAGAACTCGCTAAAATTAATAAAAAGGCCTTATTTCAACTTTACGCCCTAACTTACGCCTACCCATGAGTAGACGTAAAATTTTGGCCTAAGTTTAGTCAGGCGTAACGATACGCTCTTTAATGAAACAAATATTCGTGCTAGTCCCGACTTTACGCCGGCGTAGCACTACGACTGGGCGTACGACCTTTGATGAATCGGGCCCCTGGGTATTAACTACAGATGATTCTTTTTAAAATAAAAGTTTAATTTAATTTTCGCTAGTAAAATTTAATCATATATAAATTAATGATTTAAAAAAATGAAAAAAAGATTTTAAATGTTCCTTTTCTGGTCATTCACTAGTTCGTCTAATTAAAACGAAGCAAAAATCATTTTGTTTTCATCTTGAATCATTTAAAGCCATATAATGGCATATGTATAATGAAAATTATTAGACTAAAATTATAAGAACTTATTATTTGTATCATTACTTTATATGAACATGATAAAGATAGAAATTTTCCGTAAATTACAAAATCTAAGTCAATTGCGTTATAAAGATATCAAAATTTAATTTGGATTCTCGGAATTTTCTCCGACTTGGAAGAAAATACAGAAGATTTAAATAACACATTACAGAGAAGATAAAATCGTATTATTAGATAAAACGAGGTGTTCTCCGTGCTCCGAATTGTATGAAAAGCTTTAATTTAGATGTATTAACTTTATTTCTTTACTTAATTTTGTATTTTTCAAAAATATATTTTTTATCAGTTACGTCATATATGGCTTTAAATAAAAAAAGCGCAACATAATTGCATGACACTTATCATTGAGCTGATTGAGTAAATGTATATAATTTAATAATGAGATATCTGTGAGGCATATATGTACATGCAAATATTGCTATATTAAACAAAGGAAAGGGGGAATTCAAATTAGGAAATAAAAGATCGTTTTTTTAGTAAATCAGTCTTGTAGTACTGCAAAATGGATGCAGTTGTGGAAATTTATGGATAATATGAGGATGCTGTCTGGAATACTTCCATATTAGGGAATTTAATAGCAAAAAAGAGTGAAAATACCGGTGGTGCTTTTCATGTATTACATGTGTATTTTAAAATTCCTAATAGCCCAAGGGGATTCCTCAGTGCAGAAAACCACTAGCCCCATCCTCAAAAATGGAAGCCCCGGGTGTAGCGCAATGCTAATTACACACCCATCATGTGAAATAGTTATAGTAGCCCTATATCAATTTCAGTATTGTTTTAAATTAATTAAAACAAATGACAAAAACAATAATTTAAAAAAAAATCAAAATAAAGCAGACACTCAGTCAAAATCAAAGAAGGAAAGAAGCACTGTTTTGACTGAAAGTTTTTCAGTAATACAATGAATCTCTTAAGTTACATATCAGATGAGATAAACTTACATACAATTATTAAGTTGTTGTCAATTATCCCATTTATCATCATCTCAGCTCACTTTGCGATTGTAATACTGTCTACATGAACCAATAATTTACAGCTGATTTATGAACACATGATTGTTAAATTTTTCATTTCCCTTTCCAATATACATTGTCGGAACATACTTAGTTGGTTATGATATAAAATTAAATAATAAACACTTTCGATTTATTAAAGATTATCTAACAATATACGATTATTTACTAAATATTTCTCGCCCTCAAGAGAGTAAAAAAGACAAAGAAAATTCCAAATACAAACAAGTGCAACTTAGGATTAATTGTTCCGATATATCTATTTTAATTTTGTGCACAATTGTTTTCAAAATTACATTAAAATCTATTTTCCTTAAACAAGAACCCAGCAATGGATAAATATTAATCGAATAAACTTACCTTTTCTCTTGTCAATCAGAAAATCTTGTTGACATCAAGTGTTTCTTAGTCGCCATATTTTTTTCCATGAAAACAAACGTTGTTATGATCAGGATCAACGGAAGTTGATTTTCGGAACTCTCGAGAATTTAGAGTTCCGAATGTAAAACTGAAACAACAAAACACGGTGCGTCCGTGAAAGCAACTTTTTTGGACACTTTTTTGGACAAATCGTCGTGTCCAAGTTTTGTTGGGTACTAACCTGCAAATACCCAATTAGGGTGTTTTTAGCATATTCAGCGACACTTCTTATTGGGTATACCCAATAAGCAAAAAGTACCCAATAAGTACAATCTTGGCATGAAAAATACCCAATAAATGCACTCTCGTAAACACGGACGGACGGACGGACGGACGGACATGAGTAACAACAATATACCCGAACTTTCTTTAGAAAGTGCGGGTATAAAAACACAGAATGTACGTGTATCATGTCTATAGTTGTAATAATAGTGTAAATCTGAGGATTTTATTTCATCAATCTGCTTTTCTGGTAGAAATATCTATTCTTCAGCAAAATCAAAATAATAAATGCCTAAAGTACACCACCTATGACATGTTTATTGTACATATTTGAGAAATTGACAGAACTCAAAGATTTCAACAAAAATAATCAAGGATAGGGGTTCTGATTTTGTTTGATTGTCTGATACATGTAGGTGTCAAAAACCAAGGTGCGATTGGATGCCAAACAGAAAAAAAGACTTGGAATGGCCTAGTAAATGTTATTATCCTACCTGCTCATGGAATAAAATGACTTTTAATCAGTTTGAAAGAGTACTGATCATAGTTTTTCAATGATATTCTTATTATTCTATGAAATAGAAATTTGTGAATTTTGCAGTGCTATGTCAGATGGATTTCTTCATTCTGTATGACCAAAATGTATTTTCGGACAAAGTAGAATGCATTTGACATGTTAATAATTAGGGGGATTTTTGACATTGCAATGAAAACAATATGAGATGCATAAAAGGAGGGGATGTATTAGACCATTCTGTAACTTAATAGTTAATTACCTCTTAATGCAGCCGAGATTTCTGAGTGAGAAATAGTATTGGACATTTTTGTCATACAATATATTTTTTTAGAAATCTACATGTATAAAAAAACATAGAATTTGTTTGCATGAAAGTAATCAAAAGGGATCATGTTGAAGAATTTTTAAATGTGTTTTTTTTAATGACATTTTTGTTCAAGTATCTATTATTGAAATATAAATTCATATTTTTAATTTTGTTGAGGAACTTTTTATGGATAATTTCAATATTGGTTTAATTACATGTTTTAGTGTGAGGGGAGAGGGGAGGTAACTCTTCAAGTTATTACTCTACATGTACTATTATTTCATAAAAATATTTTCTTTAGTCATTTATTAGCAATAGATTTTTACTTCTGATTTATTTCTTCAGTTGTTTTTCCCTAATTTGCTATGCATTTTTTTGAATAGCCACTTTAATCGTTATTCTTACCTTTACAACGGGAAACCAAAAGAGGGGGGGGGGGGTAGTTGTGGACCATCTGGTACCTTTATTAGCCCTCAATGTGACCAAGATTTTTTGAGTGAAGAATAGTATTAGACAGATCTTTCATATAATGATAAAAAATAAAAATTCTATTGGACAGATTTTTTTTTAGAATTTAAAAAGTGTCAAATTTGTGTGCATGAAAATGGCCAAATTAGTCAAATTTCAAATGTTCTACATGGATTATTCTCTTAATTTATATATGTTCAGACAATCCATTGTTAAAATAAGTTAATAGTATCAATATTGTTTAAAAATAATTTTTAATATTGAATGCATATTGCACAATAAATTTTTTATGGGTAATAATTATCTTGTATTATGATTTTTGGAGTGACTGGAAAGGGGAGGTAACTCATTACCCCCTTGTTCCGTAATTTACCCACAATGCCATGTTCATATTTTGACTAAGTGTTCATTAGACATCCCTTTACACCTTGTGAAAATTTCAACAAAATCTATTGACAGGTTTTTTTGGGGTCAGGTGTCCTTAGCTACCTTAAGAAATGAATTTAATTTTTGAAGATTCATGAGGTTATGAACTACGACGCTTCACGCCGGCATATTTCATGAAGCGCGTTAGCGCTTCATGATAAATATGCCGGCGTGAAGCGTTGTAGTTTATATACCTCATGAATCTTCAAAAAATTAAATTCATTTCTTATATTTACATTATTTCCTGATGACTTGCCATAAATTTACGCCGTTCAACTGTCATTTTTAACGTAGGTCGCGGGTTTGCAGGGCTTTTAAAATTGCCCGAAAACATACCATGAAAATTACCTATATGATTTCTCTACTTTTGATTTCCATTCTCTGAAAATTTTATAAAAATCTTCTGCACCGTTTTTGTGTAATTGAATTCCAAAGGTGTCATTGTTGTAGTAACATTTTCGACATTATTCTATTGAATTGTATAGGAAAAACGTCGTTTTTGCCTTGTTTTCGTGCAAGGTTTTGATTTTAAAAATATCAATAACTTTTAAATGATGCAGACGAATTTGTTTATCCGTTGGTATTTTAAACTAAATTTGATTTGCAATAAATCTATGTAAAAAAATTAATATGTCTTCGGGTTCATTTTCTCGTTATTTGATTGTAAATAATTGCTTTTATATTGAAAAATGTAGCATTTTTAAGAACGACGTCAAAAAATATCGCGACGTCACGCTTGACGTCGTGAATATCGATCCGGTAAATAGAGAGAAAAAAAACAAAACAGATTACACTGATTTTTTTAAAAAAGGAAATTCACGCCTATCTGCTTTCAAATGGCCAACATCATAATAATTCAATAAACCAATAAAACAATTACAATTATTAGACATTTTTCTCTTTACGTCTAATATATTAGTGAAAATTCTAGAAAAAGGCGAAAGCCATCAATCAGTCCTTTAGTTTCTTTTCTTCTTTTTTTTTTATAAATTTTCTTAATGTCTTGATTTCTTACCGTTTCTGTTCTTTTTGTTTTGTTTTCTTCATACACGGATTCTCGCCGGAATTGCAAAATAAAAGTGACCTTGTAGTCCCTTCTGGAAAAGGCAGACCCCCCCCCCCCCCCCCCGGTTGATATCGCAGATCAGTGATAAGTTTGTCTGAAAAAGTCGTAGGTATGAAGATACTTTAGAAGTCAATGAAACACTAAGCCCCTTCCCACCCCCCGAAATATGTTTTTACGTTTTGTTTATATTTTTAGAAAATTCAGTAAGGCACTCAAATCAACGATAACTTCGTATGAATGAATTTCCGCCAAATATCGTCTCGAGTATAAATACATGTATTAAGGCAAAAAAAAATAGTTTCTTGGTTCTCAGGCCCTCCCTCATCTCTTCCAAGGGTGCCTCATTGACCCTTTTTATTGCTAAATCAATAAAAAATTAACACCAAATCACCTCCCTCATCATTTTTTGAGGTTTTGTACAATGTAAAAAGCTGCCTCATCATGTTTTGGGGGCAATAAAAAAGAAAAAAAATGCCTCCCTCCCTCATCATATTTCTTGAAAAAAGGCCTGAGAACCAAGTAATTAACTTTGCATGGCTTAATGCATTCAGTGTATATATTGAAAATGTTTTTATTTAAGTTTACATAGAAGCAGCGATTAACTAAAATAAATCTTAACTTGGTTTTCTTTTATGCTTATTCATATACGTATGAGGATAGAACAAGAAACATATATTGACGCAAGCGTCAAAAATCGGCCGCAAAAGAATGAATTGTTCCTTTTATGAAGCAACTAAAGACTGAAATGGTGATCTGTTTTTAAAATATCTTATATTTATCTGTTAATATATATCCTCGTGACATAAAACGCTTGACGTGCACGACATTGCTTGATTTTCTTAATTATATAATGCATGTTCAGTATTACATGCATATATAAGCAAAGTACCCCTGGTCCTCTGCGTCAACAAACCGTGGGCCTGTATAATTAAGATCGAGGCATTTACTTTAAAAGTTTAAAACTAAAGTTTAATGTAATCTACAACTAGATATGCAGTGTAGTTTTAATTTAATAAAAACGCAACAAATATGAGGGGCTCTTTGCTCTCTCTTACAGGAAAAAACTAATCTCCCTCTAGATCTTTCAGTTTCTTTGAGTTGTAGCGGGAAAATTCTTGGCACAATGTAAATCGCGCATTATCCTCGTTTGCTAGGGCCAAATCTTGTAATATTCTGTAGCCTGCTAGGTCTTTTGATGAATTAACATTCAACCATATTTTTGAAAAATTTTATATATGTACATGTGAACACGTCATTTTAAAATAAATACGTACGACAAATCCTGTTTAGATAGAGAAAGTAAAATTGTGCAATATACATAACGCGGTCTTTGCTTTAGACTATGCCCACACATGTCTTAATTTTCTCCGCACCTCAAGCATGTCTAAGTTTCTCAATCAGGATTGGATGAAATATTTACCACATTCTTTATAAAAAAAATTAATTATCATGTTTTTTGTGCGTTCTTGTTAAACATTTAGACGTTCGTTTTAATATACTATTCTATTAATGTTAAATATTTTATTTAAATTATTTTAACTCCGCAGAAACGCACAGAGACTTCAAACTTTCATCTAAACATTCATTTTCTTTGGCGTAATCAAAGGGCAGATTTTTTTTTATTAGCCTTTCAATATATATAACATTAATTCTACTGAATGAACATGGAAAGCAACGTATCGAATAAGATATGTACATGTAACTAACAACGTATGCTGTTACTTACACAGGCAATTGAGGTATCGA